AGAGAAGATCTTCACCCTGAAACCTACAGCGTCCCTTTTCAGCAGGGAGTAGCTAAGAGAATACGCCATCCCCTTTTCCTTATGAATCAGGGTGACGTCTCTCTCGGAGGAGAGACAGGGAATGGCTAAGGACACACTGACAAAGGAGATTAATCAGAACTGGCTTCGACAAGCACTGTGGCAACTGGGCAATTAAAACAGACATTTGGGCAGGGGGAAGAAGAACGAACTGGGGAGGAGGGTAGAGAAAACAGTGCAACAATGAATGAATGAAAGCCCCAAATCTCTGTAAATGTTCACTAAAACTAATAAAATTTAATAATAATTTTTAAAAAACTTTAAAAAGTTGGTAATACACATGAAAAGCTGCACAATGTGAATACTCTTAACCAGCAATTCCATTTTGAGGCATTTATCCTAAAGAAATAATAAAGTATAGCTATAATAACATAACTAAGGAGGCTCATTGCAGCATCATTTGGACCGTATTTCATTCAATTTAAGATGTCATCAATTGTAAGATTCACTATTATTTTATGTACTTAGGATGAAAGGGAAAAATGTGACTCATTAAAGAATAGATTAAACACATACGTTAATAGATGAAATATATGTAACAAGTCCAGCTTGCTAACCATTTGTACTACCCAGGAACTCCTATAATTGACCTATAGATAATCGTGCTGTCAACTCACAGGCAAATCTGCCAGATGCTTCTTTGGGGAACAGACAGGCAACCTCCTCCCATGCAAGTTACAGCCTCTGAAAACTCACTGGTGGGTCAACTATGGGTTCAGTTCTGACTTAATGGTGCATAAAACAATAACATGATATGACATAAAGAACTCTAATGGCATAGCTCATAGCCTGGTGCACTGTTAACAGACAGGTCAGAGGTTCGAAACTACCAGGAGCTCTGTGGGAAATAATGAACAATCTCCTCCCATTAAGATTTACAGCTTTGGAAACTACATGTGAGGGTCACCGCATCCCAGTCTAACATTCAAAAAATATCCAAGGGGAAAAAATGATCTGTATTTGAGAAGCAATAATCTAGAGCCTTATTTCCAAACTCCTTTTGGAGTTAGCATCTGCTATAGTTTTAGAAAGCTTCAGGAGGGTCACTATGAGTCATACTCGACTTGACATCAATCAATAACAACAACAAAAACATCTGATAAAAATTCAAGACATGGTATTTTCAATTATTTCATATGTGTCTGAAAGTTGGACAATGAATAAGGAAGACTGAAGAAGAACTGATGTCTTCGAATTGTGTGGCTGGAGAAGAATACCAGCTATTCCATGGGCTGCCCAAAGAATAAACAGATCGATCTTGGAGAAAGTACAACCAGAGTGCACCTTAGGGGCAAGGATTTAGACTCTGGGCATGTTGCCAGAGAGGCCAGTCTTCGGAAAAATACACTGGAAAATGTAGTTGTTGTTGTTAGGTGCCATTGAGTTGAGTATAACCCATAGCAACCCTATGAACAACGAACCTCAATTCTGTCCTATCCTGTGCCACCCTCATCCTCTTTGACGCACGTGAATCCATTGCTGTACTTACTGTGTTAATCCATCTCATTTGTAGAGGCTTAGAGAAAAGAAAAAAAAAAAGGAAAATACTCAACTAGATTGATAGACAAAATGGCTGTGGGCTTGAAAGTGGTAGAAGTTGTAAAGATGGCCCAGAATAGGGCAAAATTTTGATTGTGTTCACAGAGCTGCTATGAGTTACAACTGATTAGATGACACCTAACAACAACATCTAAAAAAGCCACCATTCATCTTTCATTTTGTTGGGCTAAAGTAACTGATAGGCTGCTATGATACTATGATACTATTTTGGAACTTCTTCAAACACCAGCAGAGTCATCCATGGTGGGCAGGTTGCAGTAGAGCTTCCAAACAGAGACTAGGAAGAAAGTCCTGGTGATCTACTTTCAGCATTTATCCAATTCCTACCCCACAGATCACAACAGAATATTCTTTGACATCGTACTGGAAATGAGCCTTGTGGTAACAATGGACTCACAGATGCCAGTCATCATGAAGATGGCGTGGGACAAGGGAATCCATCACTCTATTGTCTGACATAGAAATGGCACAAGGGCAACTCACAGAAACCTAATAAAGACAGATGTTTGCAACATAAGACAATTCCAGTTCCCAAATGAGACCATGGGCTCCCTGAGGCAAGGCTTAGGTCCAACCTTTCTTTGGCCCTCCAGCATTTAGTCCAGGGTCTTTACATTTAGTATGGGTCCTAGACAGGCCCAGCGGACTAAGTTTGCTATGAAGTGGCCAGAGATAGATTATTTTCTGGAGTGGAAAAGGACATCTACCAGCTAAGCCTGGAGACCAGTGTAGACACAGACAGCTTATGAAGGCACTACGTTAGAATCCATTTCACAAAAGTATTTCAGGGAGCAAGATCTTTGAAACACCTTTCATATTCTTAAAAATGGGGGATGGAATGCTATGCAGCACCCAGGAGCAATGATTTTGTAAATTACTACCTAATTTGAGAAGGACTGGAGAGCATTATGCTAAGTGAACTAACTCAGTCTGATAAGGACAAATACTGTATAAGAAAGATCATTATTGAATGAGTATGAGGAATCAAGGGGAGGAAGGTAGAAGCAAAGGGCTGAGGATAGGTGGGGTGGGGAGGTAATAATCACAGGGTTGCACAATTTGATGGGTGGAGGGAGGTGGAGTTGAAGGAAAAGGAAAGATTCTGTGTGAAATACAATGTATACAAGCTTTGTAAATAAACCTGTACAAAATTTTAAAACAGAAAAAGGAGGATGGGACAGAAGGAGAAACTTTTTTTTTTTTGGCTTTGACATCAGCAAAGTTAACTAAAACTCTTCCCAGAAGAAGGTTCTGCTCATGACTTACCTGGGGGTTAAAGTTGACAGTGATCTGCTTCGTCTCTGGGTCACGTTTCAGAAGAGGCCGGGAAAGATTGTACTGGGACTTCTCTGATACTGTCTGACACCAGTTTTCATAAAGTCTTGTCTCATATCTGAGAGAGTTGAAGGCAACACCCCAATGTCTGGCAAGCACCCTCCCAACTCCCGAACAGCTAATCATACTCCCCGACAAGAATCATTAGTCCCTGTGCTAGCTGCAATCCAGCCAGTCCCAACCCCCGTGACCCCAAGTGCAACTGCAACAGAAAAGGATGCCCAGTGCTATGCTGTGTCTATGCACCGTGAGGTCAGACCACTGTGATCCACACTTTTTTTGTCACATCCGTCTTAGTCTGGACATTCCACTGAAGCCTGTTCAGCATCAAAGGAACATACACGCCTCTGATGACAGATAAGTGGTGGCGGTCCAGGAAGTACACTGGCTAGAAATTGGACTTCAGTCCTTTGCATGACAAGTAGGGACTCTACCACTGAACATCTATTTCCCTGGAAGGCAGAACATAGCTAAATTGAGTCTTGGGTCAAAGTCAATGAGCCAGCCAGTTCTTGTTGGTGACCACTTATTTATAAAGCTACAGAGCTTAATTCAAAGGACAGAAGAAACGGAAATGCCATGTGGTTTTTGAAGGATGAAGGGATGTTACAATCAACTTCAATACATGTTAGAAGAAATTACCAGGTAGGCTTTGCTTCCTGACCTACATGAAGCTCAAGGTCATTTATCTATTCATTCATTCACAATGGGGGGAGATAATGATGAATAAATGCCTCAGAGCCAATCAAACTAACGGTGGAGATCCTGCTGCTATTATCATGTTATTGTGTTAACGTCTACTCATAGTGACCCTATGAAAAACAGACCTGAACCTTGCCCCATCTGTAAGCTCTCTGCCACGCTTAAAGTCATTGCTATAGTCACTGTGTCAATCTATCTTGTTGAGAGTCTTCCTCTCTTTCCCTGACTCTCCACCTTTTCCAGCATGATGTTTTTCCAAGAACTGCCACCTCCTGATAAATGCCCAAAGCATGGAGGTCAGAGATAAGCTAATAAGCATGAAGTAAACAAGCAAGCCCCATTCTAGAGAGAGGGAGCGGGTGTCAGGCAGTGAATGGCAGGGGCGGATGGAGGGTGGTGAGGAGGGTGGTGAGGAGGAATTCAGGGAAGGTTTCCTGGGTTGGATGATGAAGTGATGCTTGGGCAAGTCTCCTAGGATGAGTAGAGGCTGCATGTGAATGAAGAGAGGTCACAGGACAGGAGCATGGTCCGAGGGGAGGAGGTGAGAAACCACAGATGTGTGTACAGGGAACGAGAAGTCCACAGACCTGAACCAGAAAGGGGTATGGGACAGAGCTGGAGGGGAAACCAGAGCCACAGCTGGAGGCATTGCAAAGGAGTCAAGGAGATGACAGGAAGAACTGATGGGAGCAAGGGGACATTGCCAGATGCAATAACGGGTGGGCACTGAGGGTGTGAACCTGCTAACAGGAAGGCTTGTTTGGAAATGGTAGTGACCATCAGGCCACTGAGGCACCAGTCTTACGTGAAGGCACCGGTGGTGGGGACAGGGAAGAAGAAAGACTTAAACTAGTTGGGAGCTAGAGGAAGAAGAACTGGGTGGTTGGCAGATGTAGGCACCAACAATAAATGGGGGTACATATATTATCAGGAATAATTTACACAATCCTCCAAGAAGCCTTGATGGCACGGGGGTTAAGTGCTGGGCTACTGCACCCTGCCATTCACCATATGAAAGAGATGAAGCAGCCTCCTCCTGTCAGGAGTTACAGCCTCGAAAACCCAACAAAAGACCATCAAGTGTCAGAATCAACTTGATGGCAGTGAGAGTGGGGACCAGTCTGGAGGAGCACTGCTGGCCCAGTGGGTTAGGCATTGAGGTGCTAGCAGAGAGGCTGGTTGTTCAAACCCACAGCTGCTCTGCAGGAGAAAGATGAGGTGAGTTACTCCCTCAACGATTCACAACCTCAGACACCCTGTGGGGCAGCAGGATGAGGCAGGCTGCTCCCTCAAAGGCTTCCAGCCTCCGACACCCTGTGGGGCAGCTCAACAGTGTTCTGCCGGGTTGCTGTGAGCTGGCGACCACTAGGCAGTGGCAGGTCTGGTGGAGCACAAGCCTGACCTCTCAGACAGGGGAAAGAGGAGACGGCAGAGGGACGAGGCATCAGGCTGTTCCTAGATTCCACAGCCCAGAAGGCCCACTGCAGCTCTAAGTGGAGCAACCGTGAGGCCACATAAAATTCGATTCTTATGATTTCTGCATAAAAGGATGGAAGAAGTCTTTTTAAAATGTATTTTCTCTTGGCGCAGGATAAATAATTGCTTTCTGTGGAGCACTGCCCGCCCTCCTCGGTGACACACATCCTGGAGTGCCATTGAGCACTGCCCCACTTCCTCTGACTCTGCCAGGCCCATGCTCCCAACAATACCACGCTAGGCAAATGTGTGTTTCCGGAACAGAGCTGTGCTCCCCAGAGACCATGTTTCTAACCCAGAAATACCATCCTCACAAACATCACAGTTAGAATGTGAAACACAAGGTGGCGTTTCCGAGTCCCTGAGGGACCTGCCAGGACTGAGAGCTGCAGACGGCCCAGGCCCTGCAGAGCCGTGTGACCCACAGCCCTGGAACCTACTTCTCCAGCGAGGAAAGCATGTCTTCATATTTCTGTACCATCCGCTTGCCTTCCACAGACTCCATGCAGCTAAGAGAGAGCACATGACAAAGCGTTAGGAGGAGTAAAGGTAACACTCTGACTCCGTGACCCAGTGGTAAGGAGTTGTGCTGTGAATGCAAAGGCACACAGTTAATCCACCAACTGCTCCTTGGGAGAAAAATGGGCAATCTACTCCCATGTAATATACAGCCTCAGGAAACCTGCTGAGGAGGCAGCTAAGGATCGGTTCTGAATTGATTACACACAACAGCAGCAAGCAGAGCCTATAACAGTCACTGTGCAAGCAAGATAAGCATGGGTTTATCTGGGTTCATGTACTAATCTGGAGTGAACTTTATATTTTTCTCCACATAAAAAAATTCTCCTTCTAGAAATGGTTGGCTTCTCTCCCCACCCCACACCACTTTCTGCAGAAGAGAAGCCTCTTTTCCAATTAAATATTCCTGACTGGGACCTGATGGCGAAGTAAATACTGCCTTACTTGTGCTTACTAATCTGTGCTCTGGTGGTCTAGTGGTAAGAAGCTGTGCTGCAATGCCAAAGGCATGCAGTTCAAATCCACCAGCTGCTTGGTGGGAGAAGAAGGACGGGCAATCTCCTCCTGTGTGATTAACTTCTTCTGAAAACCCACTTGAGGGTCAGCTGTGGGTCGGTTCCAACTCTAGTACTCAACAACTACATAAACAACAGTTTAGGAAGAGGACAAAGATTGGCCTTCTCATCCCGTGTGATTTACAGCTTCAGGGAAAACCACTAAAGGGTCAGTTATAAGTGAGTTTTGACTCTGGGAGCGAATACAAATCTGTTCACATACTTTCATCACAGATCAGTAGGTAAGCAAGCTTAAGTAAGCCTGTGCTAACTGTGCTTACTGGGAATTCTCCCGGGCCTGGAAAGAAGAGTTGGCCAGCTTCCAAACGCCCTTAAAGAGCCTACCTTCTTCCTGCACATCCACCACTGACCACTAGAGGGCACCTGCACTCGCTGAAATGCAGGCTCCCACAGGTGACAGGGGACAAGAGCCATAAGGATCCTTCTGCAGTTCCAGCCTTCACCAAACCCTGGACTCAACCCCCTCCCCGTGGCTGAGCCAGTCAGGCAGATAGTAAATAAGCTTCTTCAGAAATCTGAGAAAAAGGGGAATTGGAAGAGTCAAGAAAAATCAAGAGGGCTGTACTTTTCTCTACTTAAGAAAAAACTATCATTATTATATAAAAGGAAGCTCTGGTGGCCCATTGTTAAGAAGTTGTGCTGCAATGCCAAAGGCATGTGGTTCAAATCACCTGCTGCTCTGTGGAAGGAGGATATGCAATCTCATTCTGTGTGATTAACTGCCTCTGAAAACCCACTAGAGGTTCAGCTATGGGTCAGTTCTGACTCAACAGCACACAATATTATTTAAAAAGAGAAGAAAGAAGAAAGACAAGAAAGACAAGAAAGACAAGAAAGACAGAAAGACAGAAAGACAGAAAGACAGAAAGACAGAAAGACAGAAAGAAAGAAAGAAAGAAAGAAAGAAAGAAAGAAAGAAAGAGGAGGAGAAGGAGGAGGAGGAGAAGGAGAAGAAGAAGAAGAAGTAGTAGTACTGAGTCAGTGAAAGCACAAATCAAGCTCAAGTGTATTAGAGATGGTGAGGCTGGCACAGGATAGAGCAGGGTTTAGATCTGTTATTCACAAGGCACCTAAGAACAGCAAAGATGTGGTACAGGCTCTTCTTCAGACTTTGCTCTCAACCAAAGAGAACTCCTTGTCCAAGGTCAAGGCCTCCCAATGGTAGCCTGCACTCAGGGACTAGTTGATAGAGGGATGAAAAGAACAATGTTACATCATAACATCACACCTAGAAGGAGGCGCTTATGAGAACAGAAGTTCATCGTCACACAGGCTGCTGCTGTGTGCCGTCAAGTCCACTCCAAGTCCCAGCAGCCTGGCATGAGATGCAGGGACACTATGACTGCAATGAACTGGAAGCATAGGAGACACTTGAGGACAGAGCAGGACACAGTTGGGGCTCCCTTCTGTTGGTCACAGAGGTGCTAGGGGTTGGAGCCAACAGGACAGAGGAGAACTGCTCTGTATGGCTTCCTTCTTGCTGTTAGGTGCCATCAAATTGACTGGGACTCATTGTGACCCTACGAACAATAGCTCCTGAGCCAACCTCACCACCTCCGACAGACTTAACATCATTGCCACAGACTACATCAATCCATCTCAGCCAAGTTCTTCCTCTCTTGCACTGACCCTCTACTCTTCCAAGCATGATGTCCTTCTCCACAGACTGAACCCTCTTGTCAACATGTCTAAAGTATGTAAGATGAAGTTTCACCATCTTTGCTTCCAAGGAGCACCCTGGTTTCACCCTTCCCAGGACAGACCTGTTGGTTCTGGCAGTCCATGGTATGTTCAATACTCTTCTCCAGCACCATAACTGAAAGGCATGGATTCTTTTTCTGTCATACTTAGTCATTATCCAGCAATTGAAAAGACTATGGCTTAGATCAGGAACACCTTAATCTTAGACTGACATGGTTGCTCTTCTGGACTCTGGAGAGATCACTGGCAGCATATTTTCCCTGTGCAATTCATCTTCTGATGTTGATGTTGTTGAATACCATCAAGATGGAACCAACCCACAGCTGACCCTCCAGCAGGCTTTTCAAAGGAAGTAAACCACATGGGAGAAGATTGTAAATCTATCCCCCACGGAGCAGCTGTTCGATTCAAACCACATCCCTTGGGGATTGTAGCACAGTTTATTACCACTAGTCTATCAGGATATCATTTTTTATGGGAGGAGATATGCAAATCTTATTTCCTGTAGAGAGGCAAGTGAGTTTCAACCACTGGCCTTCTAGTTAGCAGCCTAGTATTCAGCTATCACTCCCTTTTTAAAGGCTAGGAATCTGGATATGGGGAGTGAGCAGGACCATGCCCCATGACCCACGCTGGAAGATATTTTCTTGTCTCTTCTCTTGGCATTCCTTCGCTTGTAGATGCATTTTCACCTGACAGCCTCTCCACCTGAACTGTCTCCACATCTGTCCTCTCCCTTCCTAAGACACTACTCAGGGGGCCACATCTGTCCTCTCCCTTCCTAAGACACTACTCAGGGGGCTTTAGGGCTCATCCTACTCCAGTATGACCTCATGAGTTCAATTGAGAAATCTTCAAAGGCAGAGCCTGCTTCCACATACTATTCCATTCACAAGCTCAGGGAGTAGAATGTCAACAGATCTTCTTGGGGAGACTCAATATAATCCCTAATGCTGTTGGGCCAACAGGTTTCTTTTCAGTTGCGAGAGAAGTTAGCGTGATTTACATGCCTTTGGTAAATGAGTTATGGCTCTACAAAACTCAAAATGCATGTCGGGAAACAGATGGCCAGACAACTGTGATACTTACGGATGTGAGAGAGACTGGAAGTTGCTGATGGGGCCCTGGATGCGCTGTCTCAGCTCCTGGACCCAGCGGAGACCTCCAGCCACGGCAGGCATGTTCTTGTGCACCTGGGAGAACCCTGGGGACCAGGACAGCCAGGCTGAGGAGGGCAACCCGGCAGCACCCCCTGCAGTTACTCCACTTTTGCCTTCTCTACCCCCACGTCAACAAACCAGCAGTGGTCAGGCTGCAGGGAGGACTTCCTGCAAGGGGACCACGGTCTGCTAATGAAGGCGGAAGGAGGGGACCGAAGGGAGAATGCAAAACTGGTCAGAGGACCTGCGTTCCCCGCCCTGCTCTGCCACTCGCAGGCTTTACGGTATCGCCCCAGTGATTCTCCACCTTCCTGTTCATTCGCACCACCTGGATGTGCTTGAGGGAGACCTGGGCTCTACTTGAGAAACTGTAATTTCATAGGTGTGAGCAACGGCTGGCCACTGATCTGGTTTTATAAAAACGCATTGTTGTTGGGTGCCATCGAGTCGACTGTAACTCATAGTGACCGTAGGAACACCAGATCTGAACCTTGCCCTGCCCTGCACCATGCTCACCAGCTCTGATAGGAAGCTCTGGCTGGAGTCCACACTTAGAATCACTAACTATGTCAGCCCATCTTGTTGAGGGCCTTCCTCCCTTCCTCGGACCACCCACTTTTCACTGCATGCTGTCTTTTTCTAAGGACTGGTGCCTCCTAACAGGCCCAAAGTATGTGAGTATGTGGCCAAAAGAAAAGCAGAAGATTCTAATTGCTCAGTCAGGGTAGAAAAACACTGCCTTCAGTGACTGTATCTCGGCCACAGTTTTCTTTTGGGGAACTCTGATGGCACAGTCTGTAGGGATTTGTTAAACCACAAGGGGTGCCTCTCTAGCAGTTCGAATCCAACAACGGCCCCACAGGAGAAAGGACAATCTCCTTCTGTGCGATCTATACCCTTGGAAATCTGCAGGAGAGCCGGCTATGAGGCAGTTCTGACTCCACGGAAATGTGTTTAAGTCTTTGGTTGTTTGTGATTTTTTCTAGCTTTTTTACTTAACATCTAGGATTTCTCTGAAAACTAAAAAAGGACTATGAATGAGGTGGGGAGCTTGGATGGCCCACGCTGGAAGGAGATGTGCTACTAATCCAACCACAACACCTCTCTGATGGTTCAAATCCCCCAGCTCCACAGGAGAAAGAATTCTGGGTGATCTCCTCCTGTGTGATTTACAGCCTCAGAAACCAACGGAGGGTCAGACATGAGTCGGTTCTGCCGTGAGTTTGCATCTTTTGTTTTTTAGGGTTTGGGGGTTGTTGTGTTTTTTTTTTCATGAATAAGACAAGGCATATTTGTGATTTTGTGGGTGAACTATTTGGCTGCTAAGCAGAAGGCTGCAGTTCAAGCTATCCAGCACCTCCATGGGAGAATGACAGTCTACTCTGTAAAGACGTGCAGTTCTGAAAACCCCGTGGACAAAGTCTACCTACTGGGTTGCTGCTGACCAGAATGTCAGCAGTTCAAATCTACCAGCTCCTCTCAAGGAGAAAGATGGGCATTTTCTTCCTCTGAAGATTCACAGGCTTGGAAACTAGTGGTAAGAAGCTGTGCTGCAATCCTAAAGGCTCGCAGTTTGAACCCACCCATGGATTCCATCCATGGGAGAAGAAGGAGCAATCTCCTCCCGTGCAATTTACTGCCTCTGAAAACCTGCTGGAGGCTCAGCTCAGGATCATTTTCGACTCAAGAGCACTCAGCAACAAATCAGAAAAAGATGACCCCCCCAAAAAAGATGGGTTCACACAGTGACTGTGACAATGGGCTCTAGTGTGTTGAGGTTGGAGAGGGTGGCTCAGGACAGGACAAGGTTCCGATCTGTTGTTTGTAGGGTTATTAAGAGTCATAATCAACTCGAAGGCACCTCACAACAGCAACGTGAGTCAGAACTGACTCAATGGACATGGTTTGATTTTTGGATTTTGTTATTTTGTTACTTTAAAATTTTTAATAATTCACCATTAAGCGAAGAAGGGATTCTGAATTTCTGTGGCAATATTGAGGGCATTGCACAATGTTGCCCCAGTCTCCAGGGCCAACCAGATCTCCTTCTGCAGACCTTATGTGGCCACTGGCTTTTCTGACCGTTCATCCCATAGCCTCTCCTCACCTTTCCTTGAGGGGTCCTGTGTCTCTCCCTCAAGGCTACCTATCCCGTAAACCTTCCCTTTTATTTCCCCCGTTTGTTACAAAGTGCTTTTTTCTTACATTTTGCAAGCTGAGCACTTCACACTTTTTGCTATGCTCTATTCTTACCCAAGTTCATATCCATCTACCTGCCTTGCACCTTGAACAACAACCTTTCAGTCAGTATTCTTCTATTGTTCACCTTGACCCATCACCACATCCAGGGTCTACAAGCACGCCTTGTTCATGGAGAGGGCTCAAAGACACTTCAAAATCTGAATGGCAATTGTGTTTGGCTTCCAAAGTTGGACAGAGCCTATAACAGAAGGCCTGTAAGGACGGTAAGATTCCCTGTGTCATACAAACCTTAGGGTGCTCAGCTGTTGACTGAAAGGTGAGTGGTTCGATCCACCCTGAGGAGCCTCAGAAGAAGTCGGTTTCTAATACTAACTACTGAATACTCCAAGGAGCACGGTTCTGCTCTGGCACATGCGGGGTTACCAGAAGTCAGAGCTGACTCAACAGTAAATGGATTATGTTGTTGTTGTTGTTGAGTGCTGTCTTAGGCGACTCATAGTGACCCTATGAATGAAAGTCCTCGACACTTGTGTGCGTGACTTTTATCCTTTCTCCCGGTTCATAGGGTTTTCCTAGGCATAGGCAAACTGTTTGCGGAAGTGCATGACACTCCTGCTTCCAAAAAATGGATTATAGGTCCTATAATTGGAGACTGCCCACTGTGGTCAGTCTTTGCCAGCCTCCTTTTGGCTTCTCGGGCCAGGGGCATGATTGATATGGCATCAGATGACATTAGCAACATTTTCCAAATTTGCAAATATCTGTAGTGAATCTGAGGTGTGTTGAAGATCGATCAGTGTGGCAGGGTGGATCAATGATCAATGCATTATGTCAAGGTCTCGACTAACCAGCAGTGGTTGTCTCGACTTCTCAGGTTCAGCTGGTCAATCTCTGCCATGGATGGAAGTGCGACATAGGTCCCCAAATTCTACAATGACCTTGGCTTGTCTGGAATCTCAAACAAGGGGGTACGCTTTTTGGAAGGGATGTCTTCAATCCTCATATAGATACCAAACCTAAACGAGTGAGCTGCGTCTACTGTAGCTGCAGAACCCTGCCCGGGTGGTGAACTCACTGCTACAAGACTTACCGAGTTCTGCTTCCTCCTGGACATGCTGATTGTAGATTAACCTCACTGCATCCAGGTCTTGGCTGAACATTCTGATGAGAACCGCATATTTATCAGACACATCTTGGGCGACCAGTGGCCTTTCAAGGAGATTTCCTGCTATGCTGAGCAGCTACAGAAAAGGTGGAGAGGGAAGGGCAAGATGGTCACAAATCAAACCTTTCCTGTGGTTGTCAGCTCCCTCTCATTAGCCCTCCACAAGGGGTGACCCACACACAGAGGAAGAGGATGCTTCACAGTCCCGCACCATCCCGTCGGCCCATTGTGTGCTGGACAGCTGTGACACACACGGTTTACAGGGGCTGATTTTTGGATATAAATCACTATGCCTTTCTTTCACCTTAAAGGCTTATCTCTTTGGCTGAAGGTTGAGATTCAGAAATTAGTTCTCTTCCAGGCTCAAAGGCTAACTAGGAGCCATGGTTTTTAGAGACACCCTCAGTCTCTATGAGCTCACTGGAGCTATGGTGTCCTTGTGGTAAGAGGCTGCACTACAATCCCAAAGGTCCACAGTTTGATTACACCAGCTGTTCCATGGGAGAAGGATGGGAAATCTCTTCTTGTGCAATTAACTACCTTTTAAAACCCATCAGACAATTAGCTGTGGGTTGGATCTGACTTGATAGCACACAATGAGAACATGAGATCACGAAGTCTGGTCATTTTTATGTGTTTTATTTTCTTTTCTTTTTTCTCTGTGTTTTTTGCTGACTCTGTATAGGAGGTATACATGGCCCATTAGTTCTTTTTTATCTCCTTTTTAAAAAAATAGTTTGCATACAATAATTCATATACATTGTGTCTCATTCAGTATGTTGCATTTTACACAGTTTCAATTACATTGGGTGAGATACACACACACACACATATCTTTACAGAATTAATTATTATTGATCTATGTCTATTATAACCCTGACTTTTCAAGCTTCCATCAACTCTTTCCTATTTTTTCCATAACTGCCCCCATCCACCCACTAAATTCTGCTCTCCTAGTGATTTCTATCTTTGTCCTTTTTCTATCACCTTCCCCTTTTGGACATTTATACACATATTACTAGCTATTCTTCTATTTTTGCAGTAATGATCATGTGCAGTATCGGTCCTTCTCTGCCTCAATTTGTTCACACAGCATAATGCTCTCCAGTCTCTCCCATGTTATATTTTCTGAAATTGTTACTCCTGAGTACTGCATAGTACCCCATCTTGTGAATGTATTAGAGTTTCTCAATTCATTTGTTTGTTGCTAGAAATGTGGGCTTTACCACATTAACTGCGAGAATGAAGACCATTCTCAGCAAGCAGACTGTCGACATTCCAGAGAATGTTGACATTGCTCTGAGGGGCCGCACAGTTATCGTGAAAGGCCCGCAGGGAACCTTGCGGAGGGACTTCAATCACATGAATGTAGAGCTCAGTCTTCTCGGAAGGAAAAAGAAGAGGCTTCGTGTTGACAAATGGTGGGGAAACAGGAAGGAACTGGCTACTGTTCGCACCATCTGTAGCCACGTACAGAACATGATCAAGGGTGTTACACTGGGCTTTTGTTACAAGATGAGGTCTGTGTATGCTCATTTCCCCAACAACGTTGTGATTCAAGAGAGTGGATCTCTGGTTGAAATTAGAAACTTCTTGGGTGAAAAATGCATTCGGAGAGTTCGAATAAGACCAGGTGTTGCTTGTTCGGTATCTCAAGCCCAGAAAGATGGATTAATTCTTGAAGGAAATGACATTGAACTTGTATCCAATTCAGCTGCTTTGATTCAGCAAGCTACAACAGTTAAAAACAAGGATATCCGAAAATTTTTGGATGCTATCTATGTCTCTGAAAAAGGAACTGTCCAGCAGGCTGATGAGTAGGCTAGGAGTTTTCCAGCTACAGAAATGAGGCCGGTCAAATAATATGCATCTGATTTCAAAATGGATCTGATTCTTGTAATAAAATTCTATTAATTTGACCAAAAAAAGAAATGTGGGCTGTTTCCATGTTCTTGCTATTGTAAATAATGCTGCTATGAACATCAGTGTATCAATTTCTGTTTTTGCCTCAGTTCTAATTTCCTTAAGGCATATTTCCAGCAGTGAAATAATATGGAACTTCCATGTTTAGATTTTTTAGGAAATGCCACCTGCCTTCCAGAGTGGTTGTATTATTTTAAAATCCTACCAACAGTGTGTAAGAGTGCCAATCTTTCCACATACTCTCTAATGTTTATTGCTTGCTGTCCTGTTAAATTTTATCACTGCTGCTGGTGTGAGATGGTATCTCATTGTGGTTTGGATTTGCATCTCTGATTACAAGTGAGTGATTTTCAGCATTTCTTCATGTGTCTGTTGGCTATTTAAATGTCTTCCTCTGTGAAAAAACTTTCCATGTCTTTTGCATATTTTGTAATTGGATTATCAGTCTTTTTCTTGTTGAGGCCCAGGAGTCTTCTATAAACTTTTGTTATGAGATCCTTGTCTGAGATGGCATTATCAAATATTTTTCCCCCAGTCAGTAGGTACCATTTCACCTTGCTGGAAAAAAAGTTTTGATGTGCATTCAGACTTAAGCTTTTGGGAGTCCCGTTCATCAATGTGATCCTTTCCTGGTTGTGCATTTCTGGCTGTATATCATAGGCTAGGTCTTCTAAGTTTGGTCTCATTTTGTCTTCTATGATCTTTATGGGTTTGGGCTTTACCACTAGGTCTCTGATCCACCTTGTGTTGACTTTTGTGTCTGATGAGAGGTGTGGATTCTCTTTTAGCTTTCTGCAGGTAGAAGTCTAGGTTTGCCAGCACCATTTGTTGAAGAAGTGGGCATGTTCCCATTTGAAGGTTTTGTTTCTTTGTCAAATACCAGTTGACCACAGGTAAATGAGTTAATTTCTCAGCTCTCAATTCTGTTCCATTGGTCTATGTGTCTGTCGTTGTACTAATATCATGCCATCTTGGTTATTACAGCTGTACCAAATAGTACAGTAGCTCTTAAGGTAAGGCAGTGCTATGCCTCCCACTTCATTTTTCATGAGAGTTTTAAAGGACTACTCTGCCTCCAGGACCAGGCAAGCCAGGGTTTAAGGCGGCAGCAGAGGGCTTCAAGCAAAGGAAAGAGGAGAGAGTTGGCGGCCATGTTCTCCCAGGTTTGCTCTGCCCAGAGTTGCTATGGCCCAGTTACCAGAGAGAGCACGGTGCTGTTTGGGCAGGTGTTGTGGCAGTTTTCGGACACAAAGGACTATTCTGCCTCCAGGAGTCAGGCAAGCCAGGCTTGGCCTAGCGTTTAAGGTGGCAGCAGAGAGTTCCAAACCCAAAAGGGCCCTTGGGCCTGCGGCCCTCAAGCCTGTCTCTCATTGTCTGTTCAAACATTCCTCTAGGTTGTATAGCCCTGGTGTACAAGTTGCTGTACCGCGGTCACTGTTGGTTGCTGTGAGGCAGAACACTGTGACACCAATGTGTCAAATGTGTTAATGGTTGGCTACCCAATATGGACAGAGAGTGGGGTGGAGCTCCCCAGTTAAAACAAGCTTGGAAGGAGGAATGGCATCCACTTCCATAATAGCTTGCCTCTGGAAACCCTATGAACCTGGAGAGAGGATGAAAGGCACCCAAGCGTCGAGGACTCTCCTTCATAGGGTCACTATGAGTTGCCTGTCACTCGACGGCACTTAACAACAACAACAACATGAGAGCTTTGGTTACTTGGGGTCTCTTTCCTCTCCAAATAAACTTGATAATGGTCTTTCCTATCTCTTTGAAAAATGGATTTGGTATTTGTATTGGGATTGTGTTAAACATGTAGGACTCTTGGTAAGACTGTCATTTTCACTATATTGAGTCTTCCTGTTCATGAACAGGAAAATTTTCTCATTTATTTAGGTACCTAATCCTTTCTGACAGTGATGTTTTGTACTTTTCTTTATGAAGGTTGTTTTATGTTTCTAGTTTGGTTTATTCTCAAGTATCTCAATTAGTGATTAGCTACTGCAAATGGTATTAGTTTCTTCATCTGTGTTTTCTTTGTTACTGTAGAGGAATCCTATTGATTTTTAATATGCTGGCCTTGTACCCTGCTACACTACTGAATTGGTCTACTAGGTCTAAAAGTGTTTTTGTTAAGTCCTTGGGATTTTCTGTGTACACTATCATATCATCTGCATATAACAACAGTTTAACTATCTATTTGCTGATCTGATGCCTTTTATTTCCTTTTCTTGTCATATAGCTCTAGCAAGTACTTCCAGTACAATACTGAACAGAAGTGGTAACAGTGGGCATCCTTGTCTGGTCCCTGTTCACAAGGAGAATGCTTTTAGTCTTTCTCCATTGAGAATGATATTGGCTCTTGGTTTTCCATGTATACTTTTCACAATATTGAGGAAATTTTCTTCTATTCCTATTTTGCTGAGTGTTTTAATCAGGAAGGGGTGTTGGATTTTGTCAAAGGCCTTTTCTGCATCAATTGCTAGAATCATGTGGTTCTTGTTATTTGCTTTGTTAATATGATGACTTATGTTGATAGTTTTTCTTATGTTGAATCATCTTTAAATACCTGTCATGAATCCCACTTGGTCATGATGAATTATTTTTTTTAAATGCTCTTGTATTGACCATTTTGCTACTCAGGACTCCTACCAGACTAAACAGAACAATTAATACATATAGGAACAGACTCACTGGAAGAGTAATATCCCTGTGCTTCTCTGGCAACGGTGAGAAAGTGTCAAGCCCAGAGTTAGCTACTTCCCTACTTGTACAAACCTTAAAGGCATGATCCAAACCAGATGCATCATCAAAGGCTTGAATAAAGACAGTGCCCAGCCTGCGGTCAAGATCTTCCACTCTCTGGTTAAATTCAGAGATGTCATCTTCAAATTCCTACACAGAGATCACACATAAATAATAGTACAATTCTTTTCCAAAAGTCAAGTCTATGATGCATTTTAGTACTAATCTTTAATTCAACCTGTCAGGATTTAGTGTTAAACATGTAAACAGTGATCCTATGTTTTACAGAATTTTCTCAGGCTCCAACTAAAAAGGGAAAAGCGAATCAAGTGTGAAGTCAGTACGTGTTCCCCTCCCTTTTCATGTCCTTCTCTTACTCTTTCCAAAGTCCCTTCTGTCTCCCATGGTGCCAGAGTGTGCCCAAGAAGTCACCTGGGCAATGGCAGCCCTAGCAATGGGGCTATTCTGGCATCACTGACTTTCATTCTTCCCACCCACAAGTTAAAGTCTTAATTTTTAGACTCACTAGATCTAGTCATCAGGGGGAGAAGTAATGGAACTGTATTGGTAAATACTATTTCTTCTAAATGTACCTTAATTGGTAAAGGCAGCAATGAACCATTGTTCACAAGGTTGTCAAATTCAGCAAGTAAAAATAAAGGACAACCAATTAAATTTTCATTTCAGACAACCAACGAATAATTTGTTGGTAAGCATGTTCCAAACACTATATTTTCTTTGACAAGCCCAAGTGTAATATGCTCCATTTCTTGGAGTGGATGCAATTGTCAAAGTTAACTCAAATCTCTAATATGTGGGAATATTATTACCTTTTATTATAGCTTTGTAAGAATGATATATATATTCATAGTTTTTGTTGTTATGTGACATTGAGTCACCTGCAACTCATAGTGACACTAAGTACAACAGCACTGAAGCCTGCCCTGTCCTGAGCCAGTCTCACTGACTCAAATACATCTACCTCTATTGCCCCAGTTACTGTACTAATCCGTCTCATCCATGGTCTTCTTCTCCTGCGCTGTCCCTCCACCCTTCCAAGCATGAAGTCCTTCTTCAAGGACTGATCCCTCCTGGCCATATGCCCAAAATATGTGAGAAGTATCTTCAAAATACTAGCCTCCAAGGAAAAACTTGGTTTCACCCATTCCAAGACAGACTTAAATTGTTTTCTTGTTAGGCCATGGTATGTTGTCCAAATCTCTGACGTACAGTTAACCTTTGTGAAGACCATGGCCTGAATCAGGAGACCTTAGACTCTAAACTGACATCTTTGCTTCTCAGTACTCTAGAGAGGTGCCTAACAGCAGATTTTCCCAGTCCTATTTGTCTTTACTACTTTCTCCTTAAAAAAGACCAGGGTTTAATTCAGGCCATGGTCATTTCAGTCACTTGCTATGCTGCTGAGAGCTGGACAATGAACAAGGATGACAGAAGAAGAATTGATATCTTTGAACTGTCATGTTGGAGAAGAATACGGAGTATCCCATGAACTGCCAGAAGAATTAGCAGATATGTCTTGGAGAAGGTGCAGCCAGATTGTTCCTTGGAGACAAAGATGTTCCTTGAAGCCTTTGTCTCATATACTTCAGGCATGTTGCTAGGACAGGTTATTTCTTGAAGAGGCACATGGTACTTGGAAAGGTGGAGGGATAGCAAAGGAGACGAAGATCCAGGCTGACACAGTGACTGTAGCAATGGGCTTGAGTGTGTCAGATATTGTGAGGTTGGCACAGGATTGGGCACAATTCAGGTCTGTTGTTCACAAGGTTGCTATGAGTCGTACTTGACTCAACAGCACCTAACAACAAGAAGCCCCCTAAAAATATTAAAGAAGGAAAAGAATAAAAGAAAACTTATGTCTACTTCCTAAACTCAGATGTACTGGCATTGTATATGTCCTTCCAGTTTTTTCCTTTTTGCAGAGTTTTGTTGTTTTATTGTATTCTATGGTAGCAAACACACTGTGCATTTTGCTGATGGACCATCGTCTTTTCTCTACTTTACACTCGCGGCAATTTTAGAAAGAGATCGTTCTCTGGGTCTGAGCCAACTATTCGTGTCCTGGACATGTGAGGCGCAGATTCCTGTCTTAATAGCTTTCAACTATGGTTGCTAGGTGCCTTCAAGTCAACTGTGACTCATAGTGACTCTATGAACAACAGACCAAAAGTTTGCCTTTTCTTGAGCCATCCTTACAATCTCCACTGTGCTCGATGCATCTTGTTGAGGGTCTTCTTCTCCTCTAACCCCCCACCATCCCCAGCATGATATCTTTCCCCAAGGACTGGCCCTTCCAGATCCAAATTTCCCCATCTTTGCCTGTAAGGAACACCCTGGAATTCCTTTTCTCCAAGACCTATTTGTTTGTTCTTTTGGTAGTCCATGTACTCTTTCCCAACATCACAATTTAAAAATGATAGTAAATACATATGCAGTAACATTTACCATTTCCATATTCTTCATACATATGTACATTCTTCATTCATTAACATTAACATTATTCATTCTTCAACATTAACTTGACACTAGGCTACCAGAACTGCCTTACAGTTTAGTGGCACCGATAGTATTTATTTTGTTGTTCATTCAAAAATCATTGTCCATTCCCAAAGTTACTCACCACCTTTACAATGTGCTCAGTGTCTCCTGGGCTATGATCTCAACAACAGACAACTGATTTTAATAAGGGTGCCAACCCCATGCAAAGGGGAAAGAACTAACAGATGGTGCAGGAACCTCTGGCTTTACCTTTTTTACTTCCTTATGCAGTAGCTCTGCTACTCCCTTCTCAGGGCTGCCTCTGCCCCTGTCCCTCTTCTTCTTTCTTCCTCCTCTCTGTGGGTTTGTACCCCTCTGACTGACCTTCTCTCAGGTTACAGCTTTTCCAGGTTATATCTGGTGCCTATTTTCTTGTGTCCTAGTCCCACAAGTTCATTGGCGGCCCTTTCCTCATCCTGAAGGCTCCCATGGGGACTGTGATGAGATCAGAACTTGGTTACAGCTTGCCTGCCTCCTTCTTAAAGTACACACACAATTCTGTCTAGGCATCCCTGCCCTTCACGTGGCAGTCTCTGAAGGGTCGCTGAGCCCACAGGAAAGCTACAATTGGTCATCATCACCCAGTGCCCACCTCAGTGTCCCTGACATCCTGAGTTTGGCTCACAGTTGGAAGAAGCCTTCTCTGATCACTCTCCTGAGAAGTGGAGATCCACTGATGGGCATCAGAATTACAGAGAAGAAACACACAGGGAAAATGCAAGGAAATACCCAGCTCCTACAGGGTAGGGTCATATGGCAAAGGGAGAAAGCTGACAGGTTAGCCCCTCTAGCCCGTACCATGCTCTGGAGGTCGAGGCAGTCATATGAGGACTCGGAGAAGACCTTGCACATATCTTGAAATTCATCATACATTCTTTGGGCCTGCCAGCTCAGAGCATTCCCTCTGATGCCGCTAAACTCGAGCTTCCCTAGTTTCTGGAAGTCCAAGGTAGTCTTCAGAAGATCCTGGAGGGGGCAATTCAAAAAGGTGTCTTTTATTTAAAAAAAAAAACAATAACATCAGATGACGCTCAAGTTCGTATGAAAAGCAATAGAACCATGTGGGGGTGTTGGTTGCTTAGGAAAACGTGAAGCTTGACTAGTTTTGGAACATTATTATTATTAAATTGGGCTGATAAAAATAACTTAATAAACTCAGCAACAAAGCAAAGAGAGAGGACAGCTGAATACATTACACACACACACACTCTCAAATGTGTGATTCAGCCTCTATAGGTGATCTCCAATAAATAGTAAAATACAGTCTCAAAATTATGTATGTTATTGGTGGCCTTATCAATGATAATGTCTTTTAATTTCTCAAATTAGTGAACCATGTTATATAGTTCTAGAAAGACAGCTAGCTGTCTTCGAAGGAACTGACAAGAAAGCAGATCTTCCAAACACAGTTCTGAGTAGAAATCCAGAGCAACATCAACATTCTTATTTCTGCCAAGAACTGGACCCCCGTTTGATAGGTCTCTACGGAGCTCATACTGCCTGTTACATGAGCGTCAGGGGAACAATTACTTAGCATCTCTGGGCCTGGTTTCCTCATCCCTTACAGGATAATAACAACATCCATCTCAGAGTGTTTTCAAGTGATTACAGGTATAGGGCTTGGGCCAGGGTTGACACGCAGTAAGCAAACAGTAAGTGCTTCTGATGGTCACCAATGCTGTTGATGTGGCAGGTCCCTGCTGTGCTCAGCAGGAAATGACAAGAGGAAACCAGAGCTCAGAATCTTTAGGAAGGTGCTGTGTGGAATCGCGGGCAGTCTCTGTCACCTCTGATAGGGCTAAAGTCTGCCGAGTATGTCTAACACGATTGATCACATTCATCTCCCAGAAGGACTTTCCACAGCTTCCAGTCTAAGTACATTCCCCTTCAACGCCTTAGTGGCATGCTGGCGAATGTTTAGTGTTGATCACTGGGTGAGGGTTCTCTATCCTGAGAGCCAATGTGAAGGACAAGAACAAGGAACACCAATGGCATCAGTGCTATAAAACCCAGTAGGGTCTGTGTAAACCAAACCATTCTCTTGATGCTAATTCACTGTGATCCCATGTGTATTCTAAAATGTTAATTCACTGTGGAGAACTGTATTCTACAGGGTCTTCAGGGGATATAGCCATGTTGTCAGTGTGTATTTGAAGCCTTTGAAAAAGATATGGAGAACTGTATTCTACAGGTTTTCAATTGTTGACGACTTGACAGCAGATCACCAGGCCTTTTCTCCAGCATACCTCTGCATGGACATAAACTTCACCATTTAGTTAGCAGCAAACCACTTGACTCTTGGCACAGCTTGGGGGCTCCACTTTCTAGGTAGCATCCAGACCATTTCCCACTGCTCATCACATCTGCTCAGATGGCTCCCTCAGGCTATTGGAAGACTTCCTGACTTTTCTCTCACTGTTGTTGTTGTTGTGTACCTTTGAGTCTGAACCCTCCAGCGGGTTCTCAGAGGCAGCTCCTCACACGGGAGGAGCCTGCCCATCCTCTTCTTGTGGATCTTCTGGTGGACTTAAATCACGTGGCTTTGGGACTACAGCACATCTTCTCGCTGCTAGGCCACCAGTACTCCCTTCTCTCTCACTAAGACAGTGAATCTAGTAGCATTTACTGAAGCTCTGGGAAATGTTGAGAGGTGTCCAACTGTCCCCATTCTGCCTGGGCACCTGTCTACTCTTGCATAGCCATCTACCAGCTAACACCATCATGGTGACCCCAATGTACAGAGTTAGAACTTTGCCCCATCTGGTTTTCATGGCTGTGACCTTTTGGAAGTCATCATGGTTTTCTTTGGAGGGGCCACTACGGTGGGTTCTACCATCATTCTTTCAGTTAGGAGTCAGATGTTTAATCATTTGCATCACCCAGAGATTTGTGGAGAGTCACCTAAGCACACGGGCATGGCTGGCAGCAGACAGGCATGGCTGCCATGAGGACGAAGAGGACAGGAAAGGAAGACAGACAGCACAGCCTTGCCACCTCACGTGGACTGTGGAGAAGGCTTCATTTCTAAAATGATCAACGTAACAGGCAAGGTAGAAAATGTAAATTTTATTTAAATAAAATTGGCTTAAATAGTAATTCAAATCTCTCACAAGATACTTAACTGTAATCAGTTTTATATGAGAAGCAATTCTGTGCTGGGTAATGCAACCTGGATGCACGTTCTTCATAATTCTGTGGATGTCAATTTGAATTTTAGGAAATCGTCTCTTGCCATTTAGAAAGACAGATGCATTTTGATATGTTGGATTAGATCAGAAGACTAAATGATACTTTTTTTTTAGCCTCTTTTATTTCTCAAGAATACTTGAAGCATGGGAGGTGTGTGTGCATGTGTGTTGATATTGGAAAGTGATTCATCTCTAATCCAACAGGTACATCAGGCACAGGTTCTATTGTAGGAGAATAGGGATGGTGGGTGTGAGCTCTGTTGGCCATAATCTGTAGCGAGCTGCACTGCTAACCCAAAGGTTGAGCTTTTCCAGTGCTTTGAATCCACCGGCTGTTCCACAGGAGAAAGATAGGCAATCTCCTCCTACGTGATTCCAGCCTTGGAAACCTATGAGTCAGCTCTGACTCTATGGCATTAAGGGAGCGAACAAGAAATGATCAAGGGGCAATTGTGGGTCAATGTTTATTTAAAAGTCCTTTCAAAGCAGATAAAAGGCGCTGGAACCTACCAGAAGTTTCAATGCTCTTTTTCAATAAAGCACTTCTATTTGGCACAGTAACTCAGACAAAATATACTGTATAGTGTTGAGAAACTTCTGACCCATGGTGACCCATGGGTGCAATGCAGAGCTGCTCCAGGGGAGTTTCAGAGTGGAACTGTCTTGTGATATCACTGTTCAGAAACAGATAGTTAGGCCTGTCTGCTGAGGTCCCTGGTGGGGGTGTGTTTGTTTGTGTGTGTGTGTGTGTCTGTGTGCCTGTGTGTGTGTGTGTGTGTGTGTGTGGTTCAAACCCCAACCTTCTAGACAAAAGTGGGCATTTAACTGTTTGTGTCTGTAGTCTGAAAGTATCCAGTACAAGGCAAATGGCACAGTAAAAAAGAAGGCTAGGATTTAGGGCAAACCCCTTGGGTTAACAGAACACTGATCCTGCCATTCACGAGTTGCTGTTGTTGTAAGTTGCAATTGAGTTAGCCTGAACTCGTCGTGACCTTACATAGAAGAGAATGAAATGCTCACCATGCTCTTGGCCACCAGGTCATCTCTCACCACTGTATTGGACAATATTCGGCTGCAATCCAAAAGGTCTTCAGTGGTTACTTCAGAAGTAGATCAACCAGCCTTGCATCCTAGTCCGTCTCAGTCTGTAAACTCCACCAATACCTGTCCATCTTGGGTGACCCTGCTGATAACTGAAATGCTGATAGGGTAGCTCCCAGCATCATAGAAACACAAGCCACCTCAGGATGACAAACTGAAAGCTAGGCGGTAGATTGACTATCTGTTGTTATTGTTGTTGTTATGTGCCGTTGAGTCGTTTGTGACTCCTAGCGACCCTATGTACAACAGCCCTAAACTCTGCTCTATCCTGTGTCAATCTCACTGCCTCTGATACACCCATCCCGATTACCCCAGTCACTGAATCAATCCATCTCATAGAGGGTCTTCCCCTCTTGCACCATCCCTCCACCCTCCCAAGCATGATGTCCCTCTCCAAGGACCTATCCCTCCTTGCAACATGCCCAAAGTATGTCAGACGAAGCCCTAGAATCCTTGTATCCAAGGAGTAGCTTGGTTTAACCCTCTCCAGGATGAATCTGTTTGTTTTCTTGGCAGTCCATGGTACATTCAATATTCTTCTCCAGCACCACAGCTCAAAGGCTTCAGTTCTCCTTCTGTCTTCCCTAGACATTGTCCAACTCTCTGATGCATAACAAGTGATTGCAAAGACCATGGCCTGTATCAGGCGCACCTTAGTCTCCAGAGAGACACCGTTGCTCCTGAGTACTTTAGAGAGGTCATTAACAGCAGACTTTCCCATCACCTTAAAAAGCACTTAACTTTCTTTAAACCTCACCTTCTTACTCTCTATTTATTGATGATATACCCAATTTAGCATGGATTAGACAGTTACACAAGACTTGTAAGACTTCAATAAATGGTGGCCGAGAACTGACTGGAGTCCACCAATGGCATTATGTGAGGTTGTTAAACTCTCAAACTCACTGCTGTCAAGTCAGAAATGATGCACACTTGACCCTATAGCAGAGGTTGTAAATCACGTAAGAGGAGATTGCCTATCTTTCTTTCTACCATGGAAAGCTGGTGGATTTGAACCACCTGCCTTGGAGTTAGCAATACAGCACCTTACCCAGTAGGCCATAGGTATAATGGTGTAATAAAGAAGAAAAAAAAATCATCTGATGTTTCCTTGAGAGACTGACACAGCGAAGAACACTGGGACGGCAGACAGCAACCTGGACTAATCAAGTCCTATTCTTAAGAAAAACTACAACAACTAATGGTGGTCACGGGGAAGGTGAGAGTGCCATCCGAGCCATGGCCAGAGGGTGAAGAATCAGCATCGAGAGGAGTGACAAGGCTGGCAAACAGCACCCCCACTCGGAAAGCAGAGGTCGGGCTGCCCATCTTAAAAAGAAACGTCTTCGGAATTCATTAGGGGAGAGCACAGAGCAGACATTCATAGAAGGAAATCTCAAAAGGTCACTTAGAAAAAGACTATTTTCTTTACCTTTCCACTGCTGCTGACCTTATATGGCTAATTGTCTTCTGGGTGACCACGTGTTTCAGCCAGGCTCAGAGAGAAGCCAGCCCAATTAGGCTGGGAATGAAAAGGGGCAGCACAGTGGCTGGGGTGGTGGAAGGAGCAAGGGGAGAAGCGGGTGTGTATTAGGTCAGCTTATTACCTATCTCCCTACTAATCGTTTCACAGAAAGCCTCCACAGGAAATCATTTTGTCTTCAAGTGAATCACAGC